CCATGGGAACACCCATGGGAATCCATAGTAATCCTCATAGGAATCCGTAGGACACCCCGTAGGCCTCCATAGGAATCTTCATAGGACTCCGCACGCTTCGCCATAGGAATCCATAGGAGTCCCCACAGTACTATATGTATGTGAATATATGTATGTATCAATAACAACACGCACCACCACCAACACCAACAACAACAACAACAAAAGGTGGCCCTCGCTCGGCCCTCACGACGCCAGAATGCGAGGAAAATCTGTCCAAAGACCGAAACAGCGCAAACGAGCGCAAATGCTTAAATCAATCCCAAGAAACGGGACCTCCCGGAACCAAATTTTCGGGGCGTGACCCGCGACACCATGCCAAACAGAACCTCCCGGGGCGGGTTTTCGAAGCCCCGACAGCATGCCAAACGGGACCTCCCGGGACCATTACTACCCGAAACTACAAAGGAACACTGGAAATCAAACAAATATGGCCAAAATCACAAAAAAAAAAAAAAACATTGAAAATCACTAAAATATGCCTAAAATCACTAAAAAAACGATGGAAATCATTAAAATATCCCCCAAATCACTAAAAAAAAAACATTGAAAAGCACTAAAAAAATATGCCCAAAACAAAAAAAAAAAACACTGAAAATCATTAAAAATATCCCCACGGACCCTGTCCGCGGCGGGGGTCTCCGTGGAGAAACTGCCCCGATTCCCCATGGGAGACCATACCTCCGCGGACATGCCCTCCGAAAGCCCCCCAACGGGCTCTGTCCGCGGCGGAGGCTCTCCCATGGAGAATCTGGCCTCGATCCCCCACGGGAGACCATCCGCCGCGGACGGAGCTCTCGGGAGGCTCCCCGAGGGACCCAGTCCGAGGCGGGCCGAAACTGCAAAAAAGCACGGGGAATCATTAAAATATGCCCAAAACTCAAATAATAATATAATAAATATATATATTTATATATATATATATATATATAAATATATATATAATCTATATATAAAAATAAAAAATGAAAATTCACTAAAATAGATACCCAAAATACTCAAAAAACTATGGAAAGCATTAAAATAATCCCCAAATCACAAACAAAAAAAAAAAAAAAAAAAAAACACTGACAATCACTAAAATTACAATGCCCCAAACAACAAAAAAAAAATAGTGAAAATCATTACAATATGCCCGACGGACCCAACAAAACCAACCCTGTCCGCGGCGGGGGGACCTCCGTCGAGAAATCTGGCCCCGATTCCCCACGGGAGACCATCCGCCGCGGACGGGGCCCTCGGGGAGACCCCCAACGGGCCCTGTCCGCGGCGGAGGCTCTCCCATGGAGAATCTGGTCCAGATTCCCCACGGGAGACCATCCGCCGCGGACGGAGCTCTCGGGGAGCCCCCCGACGGACCCTGTCCGCGGCGGGCCGAAACTACAAAAAAACACTGGAAATCCTTAAAATATACCCAAAATCCAAAAAAAAAAAAAAAAAAAAAAAAAAAAAAAACTGGAAATCACTTTTTTTTTTTTTTTTTTTTTTTTAAAAAAAAAAAAAAAAAAAAAAAAAAAAAAAAAAAAAAAAAAAAAAAAAAAAAAAAAAAAAAAAAAAACATTAAAATATCCCCCAAATTCCCCCCCCAAAAAAAAAACACTGAAAATCACTAAAATATGCCCAAAACAACAAAAAAAAATGAAAAACATTAAAATATGCCCGACAGACCCTGTCCGCGGCGGGGGGTCTCCCGTGGAGAATCTGGCCCCGATTCCCCACGGGAGACCATCCGCCGCGGACGGGGCCCGACACCATGCCAAACGGGACCTCCAGGGGCGGGTTTTCGAAGGCCCGACACCATGCCAAACAGGACCTCCCGGGACCAAATTTTCGGGGCGTGACCCGTGACACCATGCCAAACCTCGGGGAGAGGCGCCCATGGGCCCGACACCATGCCAAACGGGACCACCGGCCAGAAGCGCCCCTGGGCCCGACACCATCCCAAACGGGACCTCCCGAGACCAGGTTTTCGGTGCGTGACACCATGCCAAACGGGACCTCCGGGGAAGGCGCTCGTGGGCACGACACCATGCCAAACGGGACCTCCGGCGAGAAGCGCCCATGGGCCCGACACCATGCCAAACGACCCCCCCGCCGCAGACGGAGCCTTCGGGGCCTTCGGGGAGCCCCCAATGGGCCTGTCCGCGGCAGAAATAGCGTCTGCGCCCGGAATAGCGTCTGCGCCGGGAATAGCGTCTGCGCCGGGAATAGCGTCTTCGCCGGGAATAGCGTCTTCGCCGGGAATAGCGTCTTCGCCGGGAATAGCGTCTGCGCCGGGAATAGCGTCTTCGCCGGGAATAGCGTCTTCGCCGGGAATAGCGTCTTCGCCGGGAATAGCGTCTTCGCCTGGAATAGCGTCTGCGCCGGGAATAGCGTCTGCGCCGGGAATAGCGTCTTCGCCGGGAATAGCGTCTTCGCCGGGTAGCGTCTGCGCCGGGAATAGCGTCTGCGCCGGGAATAGCGTCTGCGCCGGGAATAGCGTCTGCGCCGGGAATAGCGTCATATTCCCCGGGAATGGGGATCCTCGCCGGGAATAGCGTCTTCAAGCACATTTGCGTCTTCAAACGGAATTGCGTCTTCAAGCGCATTTGCGTCTTCACCCTGTGGTTGCGCAATTGCGTCTTCAAAGCGATTAGCGTCTTCACCCGCTCGACCGCCCCTGGCCAATAGCGTCTTCAAATAGCGTCTTCGTCTTCAGGCCTTTTGGGGAACCCCGTGTGCCACCTCAATGTATATATATATATATATATATATGCGTGAGTGCGAGCATGGATACGCCGAGTGTAAATGCACATGGCTGCGAATGGTTCGGGCGCGCCTGACTCTGAGCACAGGCGACGCTGAGCGCGGCCGCCGCAGGGCGCCCCCCTGGGAACCACGACGGCAGCGCCCGCGCGCCGCAACGCCCATGTCGGCACGCCCCCCACGAGGATCGCGCCCGTTTCACCCCTTCATGTCCTCCCTCTTCGCCCGCGCACTCCAACGTCCAAGGCTGCGGGCGCAGCGCGGCGTGGAATCCCCGCGACGCGCGCAGGTCGCCACGGAGGGGCCCCAGCGACCCGCGCGGGTCGTCCGCTGCGCGGAGCAAAGAGAGCTAGCTGGCTGGCTGATAGCGGGCACGGTTGCGGCCGCCGGGCAAAGCGACGACGGGCGAGCGAGGCGCTAGGCGGAACGCAGCGCAGATTTCCCGCGACGCGCGCCAGTCGCCCCGAGAATGCCGAAGCGACGCGCGCGGATCGTCCGCGGCGCGAGGCCAAACAAGTAGTTGGACAGTCGGGAGACGGCGCGGCTCGGGCGGGGCGCTCTTCAGGTCAAGCCTCGCGAATAAACTCGGCGAAACCGAGCTCCCTGGCGAGAGCCGTCGCCTCCCTCCTGCACCGCTTCGTGCGCGCCGCAAACTGCTCCAGCTGCTTCCACAAGCCCTCCGGCGGCCCTGCCAGGAAGAACTCGATGCGCGGCGCCCGCATGAGCACGAGGTCCTCGTGGCGCGTGGCGCGCGAGAGCAGCACATAGAGCTTCAGCCACCAGTCATCGTCCTCCTTCTTGCCGTTCTCGACCTCGTGGCGGCCGCAATCCAGGATCACGCCTGGGCGACGTCGGCTGGGGGAGCAGCGCGCTGGACAGCCGACGGCCCAGGGCGAGAGCCCACAGGGCCGAAACATGGTCTGGATGCGGACCGCCTGCGCCCAGTAGGTCCGGCTGCAAACTGCCCAAGGGCGCTGTTCCCTCGCCCCGTCGCCTTCTCGCATGGTGCGCCCCTGGTACGCCACCGTGGTGGTAACCCTGCCGTGCGAGAACGGGATGCCCGTCCGGGTGACCTTGGGCTGCGCCACTGGGACCTTCGGTGGAGCTCCCCATGGGGCCACGAAACACTATACTGGGTGGGGGAGACGCGTGCGAACTGCGCCACTGGGACCTTCGGTGGAGCCCCCTATGGGGCCACGAAGCGCTGTACTGAATGGGGGAGACGCATGCGAACTTCCCTATGGGGCCACGAAGCGCTGCACTGAATGGGGGAGACGCATGCGAACTGCGCCACTGGGACCTTCGGTGGAGCTCCCTATGGGGCCACGAAGCGCTGTACTGGGCGGGGGAGACGCATGCGAGCTGCACCACTGGGACCTTCGGTGGAGCTCCCTATGGGGCCACGGAACGCTGCACTGTGTGGGGGAAACGCATGCGAACTGCGCCACTGGGACCTTCGGTGGAGTTCCCTATCGGTGGAGCTCCTATGGGCCCACGAAACGCTGTACTGAATGGGGGGGACGCATGCGAACTGCGCCACTGGGACCTTCGGTGGAGCTCCATACGAGGCCACGAAGCGCTGTACTGGGTGTGACGATGATGGTGATAACGACGGCGATGACGATGACGATGACGATGACGATGACGATGACGATGACGATGACAATGGCAATGGCAATGACAATGACGATGACGATGATGATGATGATGATGATGATGATGATGATGATGATGATGATGATGATGATGATGATGATGATGATGATGTAGACGATCATGAGGACATTCGGAGGGCAGAGGCAGGGGATGGGAGCAGGGGGAGGGAGGAGGAGGGAGAGGAGGAAGGAGGAGACGCGGGGCGTTGTCTCTTCAGAACGAGGGCCCAGCACCACAGGACGGCTGGGAAATGTTCAAAAAAATCCTCCGACATGCTCCGAAAGAACCGTCCCCGTACGACTTCTTCGCTGTTCAAGATGCTCCTGCTGTAGACGGGCGTGCCCGGCCCAGACGTCGTGATTTTTTCGCAGCGTCGACCCCAGAGGTCTGGACCCCTTCCCCGGGACCGGTTTTTCATCCTGAGTCGTTGTTTGACGGTCCCGCGGCCCGGCGCGGGCCCCTAAGGGCCGAAAGTAGCGAGAGACCTCCCGTCGTGATCCCTTCACAGCGCGAGGAGGTCTGGGATCTCACCCGGCCCAAGGTCACGGGGGGGGGCTCTCCTGGATGGCGCTCACCCAGCTCTGCATCTCGCCAGCGTCCCTGGCGCGCAGGAGCAGCTCCTCGGGGGGGGGGGGGGCGGGGGGCCCAGGGGCAGAGGGCAGGAGGGCAGGAGGCAGGAGGCAGGAGGAGGAGGAGAAAGAGGAGGAGGAGGAGGAGGAAGAAGAGGAGGAGGAGAAGGAGGAAGAGGAGGAGGAGGAAGAGGAGGAGGAAGAGGAGGAGGAGGAGGAGGAGGAGGAGGAGGAGCCAGCCACACGAGTGGCACCAAGGTGCGCAGCCTTCGGGGAAGGTCGCTCTCACGCGTGGCCGGTGCCTTCCCTGTTCACGCCGTGCCCCGCCACGCGGCCCCGCCACGCGGCCCCATCCCCGCCTCCCACGCCCGAGGTCCGCCCGCCCATCGTCCACCCGCCCGTCCTCAGCTTCCCTCCCGCACACGCCCCCCGCCCCCCCCTCCACCCCCCAGCCGCGTCTGCACGGCCATCCCCCCGCCCCCAGCCGGGCACGCCTCCACGCGGTGTGCGGATCTGGCGCGTGGGTGCCAGAGCCACGGATCGGGGATAAGATCGATATAAGACGCCACCTTGCGATCAATGTCAGGGTCGGATGCCCGCTGGCCGTGCAAGCTTGCAGGAGGCAACGGCCTCTCACCGACCCATCACGGCAGCAGCGGCACGAACCTGTCACGAAACCTTCCTTGCGACATCAGCAAAACAGCAAACAGTATTCTATACCCAGACACGCGACGTCCCGATGTTTTCAATACGGGGTTCCTGGAAGTCCCGACCCCTTTCCCTGGGACCGGTTTTGCATCCTGAGTCGTTTTTTCACGGTCCCGAGGCCCAGCGAGGGCCCCCGAACCCTAAATTAGCCAAAAACCTGCCGCCCTGGAATTTTTTACGACGCGATCATGTCTGGGCACACGCGAGCGTGGGGCCTGGGGTGGCCAAGTGCGCAAAGACACCAGGCCCACGGATCGGGGAGGGTCCCCCCCGCAATCGGGAGCCAGCGCCACCCGATCTGGCGACGGAGAGCGCCGATTTTTCGTGCGGAAGCGGGCCGCCCGTCGTCAATGGTCCACGCGCGCCGTAGTCCATGCTTGCGTTTCCTCGAAGCATGGAGGAGGAGGAGGAGGAGGAGGAGGAGGAGGAGGAGCAGGAGGAGGGGGAGGAGGGGGAGGAGGAGGAGGAGGAGGAGGAGAGGAGGAGGAGGAGGAGGAGGAGGAGGAGGAGGAGGAGGAGGAGGAGGAGGAGGAGGAGAAGAAGAAGAAGAAGGGGGAGAAGGACGACGAGGAAGAGGAGGAGGAGGAGGAGGAGGAGGAGGAGGAGGAGGAAAGGGGGTGAGGAAGGAGAAGGAGGAGGAGGAGGAGGAGGAGGAGGCCCCCTGCGCTGCCCTCACCCCCCCGGGTGCTCGTTGACGTGGGACAGAAAGCGCGGGGGGGGGGGGGGAAAGAATCGTGCACCCTTCGAGCACCTCCCTGGACCCCCGACATCATGACCCCAGAGGTCTCGACCTATTCCCTGGACCGGTTTTTCATCCTGATTAGTTTTTTGACGATCCCGAGGCCCGGTGGGAGCCCCCAGAACCCGAAAATAACGAAAAAACCCTCTGTCGTGATTTTGTTCATGACCCGAGAGGATCTGGGCCTCGGGCCCGCGGCAGCGCTTTGGCAGCCAATCGGGGCCCCCTCAGGGCCGCGTTCCTGCAATCCTCGATCCCCTCCCACATCTGCTGCCCGCCCGCTCCTCGTCGGGGGAGCCCGCCCACAGAAACGTGCGCGCCCAGCCATGCACGCGGATACGGCCCCCCGGTCCGCGAAACCTGCCTCGAGCTGCCACGTGCGCACAAGGCACGATCGCATGCTCTCGAATCGGCGGCGGGCCGGCGGGGGGGGGGAAGTGCGGGGGGCAGGCCTTCTCAGAAGGCGGCATACTGCGGCTGCGACTGCGACTGCGACCCGCATTGCGAACCCTGTAGGTGCTGCGGGTTGGGGGCCGAAGCGCCCCCTACAGCTCAAAGCGCCCGGCAAATGCCTGCCCTGGGGCGTCTCGTGCACCTCGTGCGGCACGCCTCAGCAACCGACGAAGTGCATCTCAGAAGGCGGAAGGGCCTTCAGAAGCCCTCGCGCCTTCCGAGGGTGTCTTCCAGGCCTTCTCCGAGGACACGGGCGGGGCTCCTCAGAAGGCCAGGGAGGGCTTCCGAGGAGCCCCGCCGCCCTTCCGAGGAGGCCTGACCCCCTCCCGCTTCCCCCGCCCCCATGGTGATCGCCGCCGAACGGGGCCCGCGAGCATCCGCGTGCACGTACACCTTTGTTTCTGCTGGGCCAGTCTTCCACCACCACCACCACCACCACCACCACCACTTCCACCACCACCACCACCATCACTACTGGTAGGACGGGGGAAGAAGGGAGCATGGGGAGGTCCTCCTCCTCCTTCTCCTCCTCCTCCTCCTCCTCCGCCTCCTCCTCCTCCTCCTCCTCCTCCTCCTTCCCTTCTTTATGAATAACTTCTCCCTGTCGGGGCCCGAGGCAAGTTTTTAGGGCGGGGCAGGCATTTCGCCTGAGACGTCCTCACCGCTTATGACCCTGAAGCTCAAAAAATTGCCACAGCTTCACACATAGAGGACGGCTGGTTTTCAAAATGTGGCTCTCGCCTTGGCGTCGCGCACTTTATTTTGCAAGAGCTTCACGGTTTCAGGGCGGATGGCTTTCAAAATGTGGCTCTCGCCTTAGCGCCGCGCACACTCGTTCTAAACATTTGCAAGAGCTTCACGGATTGAGAGCGGTTCCTTTTCAAAATGTGGCTGTCGCCGTAGCGCCGCGCACATTCGTTTTCCAGATGTGCGAGAGTTTCACATATTCCCATGATCAACTTCCCAGGGTTTTTGTTTTGGAAGGATTCAGGATTATGAGGGCGCAACGGTTACCTTGATTCGTGGTGTTGAAGTCCCAGGAATGGCGTTCTGACGCGATGCAAGATCGCCAAGACGTAACAGTCAGGTTGTTCCGTGGCATGCGAATCCCGAGAACGATTTTGTGGCATGCTTCTAGGTCTTCAAACGGTTGTTTTCCAACGAAGCAGCTCCCTCAGTGGAATGAATCGTTGCAGGGGCCTATGAAGAGGCAGCTTAGAGGGAGGGTTGACTCCAACATCGTTGATGACTCTTGGGTCTACACTGGTCTTCCTCCTCCTCCTCCTCCTCCTCCTCCTCCTCCACCTCCTCCTCCTCATCTCTCTCCTCCCTCTCCTACCTATGGTAGTAGTAGTGGTGGAAAATCGACCCATCAGTTTCGCTCCTCATCATGATCTAGGGCTCCCAACTTCGCGCTTCGCGCTGCGCGAAGCGCGAAGCGCGAATAACTTCGCGCTCTCGCGCCGCCCCCCAAGGGGGAGAAGAGGAGGACGAGGAGGAGGGGGAGAAGGAACGAGGACCGCGAAGCGCGAAGCGCGAATAACTTCGCGCCCTCGAGGGAGCCCTTGCATCATGATCTTCCTGTCTCGCGCCCCTGCGCGCGCGGAGCGTCTGCCCCAGAAGCTCGCGAGCGGACGGCGGTAGGTTTCGGTCGGGCATGTCCTCCTACAGGCGGAGTTTGGAGAAAAAATGCGGATATTCAACAAAATCGTCAAAGAGCATGTCGCAAAAACCAGCAACAGCAAAAAAGTACAGAGCGTCCATATACGATTCCTCCTGTTGAGGGACGTGCCCGACTTGACGGTGGGGAGAGAGGAGGAGGGGGGGAAGAGAGGTAAGCGAGAGGAAGAGGAGAACCGAGACTCACGCAGGAACACACAGCGACCTCTCGCGGTGGCTGACGCGGGTCGCCAGCGCGGCACGCTGCGTTGGAGAGGAGGGCCAGGGCGCTCACGCCTGACCCGACGCGGGCAACTGACGCGCGGATGCCCGAGAAGTCGACCCCCTCTCTGCCGTCGCTCCTTTCGATTATGACAGATCTACTTGCATGGCAATTTGCCTCCTCCCCTCGCCGCCTTTTCGGGGAGCTTCTGACCCGTGTCAAGATCCTGCACCCAAACCGGGGTCAATGCGAAGGATCCTGCAAGATCTTGCAGGATCCTGCACCCAACCTGGGCCAGTGAGACCCTGGCCCTGCAGGATCCTGCAAGATCCGGCGCTCTGGCTGACCCCTTTTGCACTGACCCCCGTCTCTTGAGCCCCGACCGTTCTCACTTGGGACTGTGCCGGAAAAACGTGCAGCGAACTTTCGACGTGCGCGACATCCAGACTCCCTTAGGATGAAGGGGCCCTGGGACACACAAATGAATACACACAAACATACACTATATTTTCCAATATTTTCTGGGTTTTTGTCTTTCCCCCCACTTCCCATATTTTCCCCTACTTTCGGGGGAATCGGCGATGAATTGTGTCTGTGTGTGTTTTTTTCCCCCTCCCGACTAGGAGCTCGCCAGGGAGCCGCCCCCCTCCGTGCAAGCAAGCGTGATGGACGCGAATCCCGAAGCAGCTATGACCTGTGACCCGTCAGTCGGAAGGCGCGGGCAGAAGCGCGAAGTGGGACGGCGCTGGGAGTGGACTGCGCTTCCGCCCGCCCCCTGAAGAGGGGGGAGGAGGGCAAACCGTTCGACTCCTGAAGCAGGAGGGCGGCTAAAGCAGATTGGGGTCTGGAGAAAACAAAAACACCTGCTCGACGGCCAGCGTGTAATTACGAATGTCGGCGGCGCCGGCGGTCTGCTCTTGCCAGATTCGGTGGCCTGCTCTTGGCAACTCTGGCGGCTGGCTCTTGCCAGTCTCGGGGATCTGTTCTGGAGATCGCGGTCATCCTGTGGCCTGGGGCCTCAGGCCAGCCCTGCTGCCTCCCATGCCTCCTCCTCGCCTTCCCGCCCTTTCCCCATCCCCCGCCCCCACGTGCGTATCCAGCACTGCGCGGCTCCAAATCCCGATTCGGATCAGCCGGACCAAAACTACACAGAAAAAGCTTCCACAAAATGGCGCCCGCACATAGCCTTAGATCCGACGCCGCGGCAGGGTGCGCTCCTCGAGCCGGAGCGACCTCGGAGGGCCCTGGGCCCGAGACTGGGCAAGCACGGGCGTGACACAACCGCGACGCCCACACCCCAAACGTTGGGCGCGCCCCCTGGCGCGGCGGCCAGGGGTTGCCCTGGACGCTGCCACGCCGGGGGAGGGGCCGCTCCACACCGGCTGGTGCCCGCGGCCAGCGACTCGGGGATCTACCGACCCGGGTCAATCCAGACCCAGGTCAGCCGATCCCCAGAGTCACGCACCTTTCCATGCAGATGTTTGGCCAAGCACATCCCGCGCCCCCCTGTTGATACTGGCGGTCTGCGACGCGATGTGCCGACCTGTCGACTGGCCGAATTCCTGCACCCCGCGGGCGACGCCAACCAACACTGTATGGGGGGCAGGGTGTGTCGGGGATCTACTGACCTGGGTCAATCCAGACCCGGGTCAATCAGGCGTTGCAGGATCCTGCAAGATCCTGCAGGATCCCGCACCCAAGCCCGGGTCAATGCATCTCTGCCTCTGCATGATCCTGCAAGATCCGGCGCTCTGACTGGCCCGTTTGCAGTGACCCCCGCCTCCTGAGCCCCGAGCGACTCTCTCGGCAGGGCTGCAAGGGGGTTGGGGGCGGTGGGAACTTTCGCCGGTGGACGCTGGTCGCGGGCGCCCGCGCCGCCGCCGATGGCGTGGGCGCGAGCGCCCTGCTCCTCGGGGCAACGCTTCGGCGGCGCCAAAACGCGCTCGGACGCTTCTGGCCGTCTCCGTCGGTCCTCGGCGGTTTTCCAGCCTCGGGATGCTCTCCAGCAGCTGGCGCTTCGCCGAGAGCGTCCCGTGGGTGCCAGAATCGTCCCGAACAGCCGCCAGAGGCCCGAGTTATGGCCAGAGAACCCGGAGCTTCCGGGAGGGTCCGATCACAGGGGGGCTGGCTCAGGGGGGGGGAACATCAACCTGGAATCGGCGATACATCGCGGGTAGATCGGCGATAGGCCCACGATGGCGGACCAGCACGCTGCTGGGCGGGGTGGGCTTCAGGGGGCGATTGGGGTCGACCGATGCATCCCCCACTGAACCACTGACGCCCGCAATTCGGCGGCGAGCGAGGGAGGGAAGTGAGAAGGGGCGATCCTTCTCAGAAGCCTTGAAAGTCCCCTGGCCTTCTGGAAAGATTTCTGAGCCTTCCCCGAAGAAACAAAGATACGTCTCAGAAGGCGCGAGGGCTTCTGAGAAGCCCCGCCGCCTTCTGAGAAGGCCCTCTCCTTCTCACTTCCCCCCCTCGCTCGCCGCCGACTTTATTTAGTTGATTCATATCTCGAGTCTCCGGCGGCAGTTCGGGACGATCCAGGCACCCCCAGAACGCCATCGGCGAGGCGCAGCTGCTGGCAAGCATCCCGAGGCCCAGAAAAAACCGCCGATAACCAACGAAACAATGTCCGAACAACCTCGAACCTCGAAACCGAACCTTCTCCGTCTCGCTTCCTCCCCTCGCTCGTCGCCGAGCAATGCTTGCCCCCTCCGAGGCCCTCCCGGCGCCCTCCTGCACCGCGTCGCAGGGCGCGCTGCCCAGCTGCGAGGCGACGCGGACGCGGAAGCTGCAGGCGCCCTGACGTGGAGGCGGGCGCTGCTGCTGCTGCTGCTGCAGACGTGGACGTTTGCTGCTGTTGCACGGTCACGATCAGATGCACTACAGCCAAAACGCGTACTAAGGACGGGTTGTACAAGAGATGTGGCCACGCACAGGCGAGAACAACAAGCTTAATGAAGGATGTCACCGGCGCCGAGGCGACAGCAACACTTTCAATCAGAGATGTGGCTCGCGCGCAAGCAGGAGCATCCTTCCGAGACAACCGCGTCGCCAGGACACAGGTGTCACGCCCATTCCGCGCGGGCCGGGCTCGGTGTCACCGAGGTCCAGGCTACGTTAGGTGGGTACATAGTCTACGTTAGGGGGGTAAGGACGCAAGACCATTGGAGGCCGAAGATGGGATTCTTTGGGCGGCGGGCGGCCAGTGAAAACGGCAGCGGACGGGCCGCACGGGCAAGGACACAAGGGCACCGCAGATGAAGGCGCGCGTCCTTACTGGGCGCGTTGACTGCAGAGAGGTGCCACGAGATGAGCTGCCCCAGTGCGCAGCACGCAACACGTGGCGTGTTGACATTGAGCTCGCCACGCAGACCGAAAACGTAAGGCCTGGCGCGTTGTGATCGCCAGAACGTGGGCCAGCACGACGTGCAGAGCCAGCATGCGGCGTGTTCACACAAACGTGTTGAACATGGCACGAGTTGCGGGCGTGTCAGGGCAGCTGAGGCCACGAAGAATTTCTGCACAAACGTAACCAACATTGCGCGAAACGGGCGAGGCACGAGTGGGCAGCGGGCTGGCGGGCTGCCGACGCTGACGTGTGGCAAGCTGATTTGCTAACCAGACTCGAGCACATCCCTATCCCTAAGATCGGCAAGCCAAAAGCGATAACAAACTTAGGGATGTGCCCTCAGAACCTGGGGGATCCTTAAGATCGGCACCGAGGCAAGGTAATGCAAAGTGAGCGTTCTTTTATTCGGCGTTTCGGCGGTGGGCGGCAAGGGGGGGGGGAGGGGGGGGGGAGTCTGGCTCCAGACCTCTGCTTAGTGCGACTGTTTGCAGCAGTGCGCTCTATGGGGGGGGCTCCACCTGCTCGAAACAGGCGCCAAAGAACAGCCAAGATCTACTCCACGGGGGGGAAAGGAGGGGGCGAGGACCCGCGCCGATCGGCAAAACAATGCGTAAGAAAACGATTACTATTCCCAGACATGCGACGTCCTATTTTTTTCAATACGGGGCCCCTGGAAGTCCCGACCCGTTCCCTGGGACCGGCTCTTCATCCTGACTCGTTGTTTGACGGTCCCGAAGCCCGGCGAGGGCCCCTCGAGGTCAAAGTTGGCCAAAAACCTCGCGTCCGGGGCGAGGGGGGGGGATGCGAGGGGGCGCGCCGATCGGCAAAACAATGAATAAGAAAACGATCCCCAAACATAGGGATAGGGCTGATGGGCCTGCCTTCCACCACCACCACCACCACCACCATGAGTTGGAGGGGGGAACGAGGTGGAGGAGGAGGAGGAGGACGACGAAGAGGAGGAGGAGGACGAAGAGGAGGAGGAGGAGGAGGAGGAGGAGGAGGAGGAGGACCCTCTCCCCCTCCAACTTGTGGTAGTGGTGGTGGCAGGCAGGCCCGTCAAGGGATGTGCCTGAGGCTGGCAGCCTGCCGGACCCGGGAGGTCGCCACCCGTGCCTGCGCGGCGGCGAAGGCTGCAGAGCGGGCGGGCTGCCTGCTGCGCGTGCGGCTCCAGCAGGGCTCCCAAGGGGGCGCCCCTCGACTCCCCCATAACCAGCCTCGGACGTATCCCTATCCCTAAGATGGGCGAGCAAAAAGCGAGGACAATCTTAGGGATTCGCCCTCAAAATGTAAGGGAATCCCTAAGATTGGCATCGTGATGAGGATGTGCCCAGCATAGGGATAGGGATATGCTCCAGGCTGGTAACCAAGGGGCGCCCCTCGACTCCCCTAAAAGATCAGGTCGGACCCGCCCCCCTGCACGGGGGGATGTTGGACGAAAGCCAGCAGCCGAACTCTATATACACCGACGCTCTTCCCGGCCCCGCACTGGGACTGGCACAGGAAAGCGGATCCTGGAGTGTACGGGATCCTGGTGTAAGCATTCTTCGTTGCTTCCCAGGGGAGCGGAGAAGCAAACATACACCACACCACCCCGACGTCGTCCCCGACCCTCCAAAATCCTGGGATTGACCAAAAGCCTGCCACTGGTAATGTGTATGCTCTTATCCCAGAGAAAAATCAAAACAAAATCCAATTACCCCAGTGCGACCCTACCTAGAAGTTGGAGCCCCTAGGAAAGCAGCATGAGTTGCTATGATATGCTATGCCATGCTATGCCATGCTATGCTGCGCTATGCTATGATATGATATGTTATGATATGCTGCGCTATGATCTGCTATGCTATGTTATGCTAAGCTATGGTATGGCCTGCTGCGCTGTGCTATTCTAAGTTATGGTATGATATGCTGAGCTGCGCTATGCTATGCTATGTTATGGTATGTTATGATATAATATGGTATGATATGATAGTATATGCTATGATATGCTGCGCTATGCTATGTTATGCTGGACTATGCTATGATATGCTGTGCTGCGCTATGCTATGCTACGCTATGCTATGCTATGCTGTGTTCTGTCATGCTAAAGCTCAGCGAAGTTAAGATGAAGGTAAGCTGAGCTACGATAAACCTGAGCTTAGATGAAGCTAAGCTAAGCTAAGATGAAATAAGCTAAGATAAGATGAGATAAGCAACGCTAAGCTAAGGAGACGTAACTGGGGGAACCGCGGGGCGGATACTTGGGGAACCGCCCGGGGTGGGGACCACTGCCCGGCCCTTTGAGCACACCGAGTAAGAACCCTTCTAGGCAGAGCCTAGGTAGGGAAAACTACGCAAAACAAAATCACAAATGGTCGAAAAAGTCGTCCCCATACCATTTTTGGACTATGTTTGAACAGTCCTCCTGTAGAGGGACGTGCCCGACTTAACTCTAAGAACGGGCCAAGACAAGACCGGGGCAGGATCGAACCGGGACAAATTGGGCATCTCTCAAAAATCCGGCGGTTCTGGGAGAGCTCAGAAACAGCCTCGACGAGCCGACCAGGCGGCCCGAATACCAACCCACGAAGTCCCAATGTCATGCTGCATCCTCGGGGGACCGTGTCTGTCCCGTCGCGGCCCTATCCGCGTCGAACCCGTGTCGAAGCCGTGTCGGCCTCGTCGAATACGTGTCGAATCCGTGCCGAATCAGCGACGAATCCACGCCAAATCCGCATCGAGCCCGCGTCGAGCCCGCGTCGGGCACGAGAGAAGATACCGATTTTGGGGGACACGCGGGGCCCACCGGAGATGCAACGAAAAAGTCCCAGGGAGGCCCAGAGGCTCCGAGAGAAAGCCCCCGCGAGGCCCCGAGAGGTCCCAGGATCGAGGCTCCTATAGGGTCGACGGCCGAGGCCCCGGGACCTCCGGGGTCGAGGCCCTGGGCCCCGAGCACGGATGCCCCAGGATCCAGGACCGAGGATCGAGGCTCCGAGGATCGAGGTTGCGAGGATCGACGAGCGAAGCCTCGAGGATCGAGGCCTCGAGGATCGAGAGGCCCCAGGGCTCGAGGCGTCGAGGCCTCGAGGCTCCGAGGCTCCGAGGCCTCGAGGCTTCGAGGGCCGAGGCCCCCGAGGGACGCGCGGCAGGGGCCTCCCGCGAGGCCCTCGGCGGCCAAAACCGACGAGGAGCCCGCGGGGCCCCGCCACCCGGACCGCCCCGAGCGGGACGCACGGGGACATGCCAATGCTATGTGTCCTCCTTGGAGGCGCGCGTCCGACCCGAACAGGACGCTTCGCCACTGCTTGTGTATGGGACGCACAGAGACATACTAGTACTAGATGACCTCCTTGGAGGCGCGCGTCCGACCCGAACATACAGTATGCCCCTCTTGTAGTACATCGTTTCCCGAGGGGTGTGGCCAGAGAGCGCCCGCCACGACGAAGATACTATGAGACTTCTCGGTGCGCGCGTCGCCCATGGAGGGGCGACGCACATATAGTGTAAGTACGTTGGGGTGACGCCGATCGAGTCATGAAAAAATCACGACTGGGGTATACTGGAGGTCAGTCCACAAGAACCCTTCCACAGGAAACCCAACCCCGAGACCCCGGGACGTCCGTGGATCTTTGGTGCGGGAACGCCGCGCTGTGCATGGCAAAACCGTCGGAACCCACATTTAAAAAACCAGGGCACCCTGGAGGCAAGCAGGGTGCTTCTTGGCATGGGCCTCCAGTGCAGAAGAACAAGAAGAAGAAGAAGAAACAAACAAAACAGAAAACAACACAACAAAACGCCATACACATAAACTGTTGGCGCTCCGCGCGAATTTCTTGTATCCAGGCCGGAATACCCCCCCTTGGCGCGCGGAGCGCGCCAGGGGCGGCGCCGGAGGCGCCGCAAGGGGGCCAAGTGCGGACCCAAGAAATCCAGGCGGAGCGCCAAAAGTTATGTTTATGGCGTTGTTCTTATTCGAGGGAGGTTGCTCGCCACTTCGGGCCTCCAGGGGGGCTCATCACTTGCCACGGGAAATCGACGACGGAGGTGACCAGGCTATTGGGCGATTGCTAGACACAAGCAGGTCCAGATCGGGCAGCTCCCATTGCAAATACTTACGACGCCTACTTGGTATTCCCCACTCGTTTATTTCTCGCTTTAGAAACAGTGACGTGTTGCAGCGAGCGTCGTCGACACCATTATCTGAGACTCTGAAAGAACGCCAAACAGCTCTGTACAATAGAACCGCCAAGTCCCTGGGCCCTTCCCTGATCAAAGACAGATTGCACAATGCGGATCGCATTCCCGAAAATTGAGCACGCCGCCAGAAACGAGGGCGCCCGCGACAGCTGTGGGCGACTTCAGTGTACGATTTGTCTCGTATGTAACTCGAATTTGCCCGCTCCTCGTCCTCCTCCTCCCCCCTCCCGCTCTCCTCTTGTTTCCTGCGTCACAGTTGTGATGCGCTCCGTGT